CTCATCATAAATGTAAGAGGCATCCTTAAGGGCTGCTTGTACTCTGCATCCTGTTGTCGTCCGTGAATTGAGGCTACGCAAATGCAGCGCCAAAACGCACGAACCAGGGAGAAGGCACTCATCACTTCCCAACCGAGGGATGGTACCTGCTGTAGGTGTTTTACGCAGTAAGAAGCTAAACGAATCAGGTCAGAAGTACTACAAAGGGCGTACGCACTGTCTACGACAAAGTCTGGGACGGCAAAGTCACCAACCTTCGTGTCATTGTTTTCCGTCACAGAACCGATCGTCGTAAGGTTTGCACGAGCAAAGTATACATCTAAGCAGAGCTTGTGTAGCTTAGCGACATGCGCCAGATGGGCATACTCACGGACACACTTTATACTTACCTCTTGCACACGTCGAGAAATCAACTCCGACACAAGTGCGTGAACTACCGTAGTTTGGGTAGGATCAAAGTTTGTTCGGCTAAAACGATACAACCGACGACCAAACTCTTCCTGTGACAAGAGTGACAATTCATGCGCCAAGTGCCGATAGGCCTCAGTATTGGTGTCAACTGACGGTTCCGCAACGGCTTGGCGAAGTGGGAAGAAAACCTTGTGTTTACTGTCATTATTGCTCGTGATGCCATGCAAAGAAGATGGCAAGGAATTTACCACCCGTGCGAGAATGCACCGTTGCATTATGCCTTCCTTTTAATTATCCTCACAGACATAAACCTCCCAGCCCGTGCTGATCATCCGCGTGATAGATTTTAGTGCACACGTGCGTTTTGCAGAAAAGAAAAAAAAATGAAATGTTTGAGTTTGAAGTTCGAGTGTGCGTTGGAGGCGAGAAAAAGAAAACTAAAGTCCGATGCAAACGGAGGCAAAAAAAAGTGGGCACAATCCAAAACATCCCGTACGACATCCTCGCATGTCCTCCCCCCTCCCCCCACGGTGTGGATAGGAGTGAAAGAGAGGAGCCACGCACGCACACACACTCACTCACAAGCAAAAGGGAAACGGGGCCAAACCAGTTGAAATTTGACACGACCTAAATTTGAATAAAATTCCCCCCGTTCTCCTTAATTACCTCAGTGTGTTATTGCTTAAGCCCCTGAAGGGCCGCAGAAATGTCAGCGAAGTTGAGTTTGATAGCCGGTTTCCCACCGCTCCGTGCTTCTTTTTGTTCCTCCTCCTTCTCAGATGTCACGGGGGCGTACGCGTCGAGGAGGTCCTGCACCGGCCCGTTGTGCCACAGCTGCCACTCTGCCGAATTCGGACTATTCTTCCGGCGTGCAATCCATTTGCCCCACGCACTCTCCGCGTCTTCCAAATCCTCCGCTCGACGTTCCGCAGGCACCGGATCAGCCGCATTCGGCAGACTGAAAACATGCTGGTGTAAAAACCGGCATTTCTCCTCGTCACCAAGGCACAAACCCATCAAAAAGCCAAGACATAAATCGTAAGGCGCACGACGAAACAAGCAAGTCTCACCGTGTATACAACGTCCCCACACGCGGCAACATGGATGGATCTCATCCTGCTGCCGGGCCAATGTTGGGCCTCTGTCAGTCGGCGCTACATCGCCACGTACAGAGGGAATTGTTTTCATTGCTATAGCGGGGAGATTTTGAATGTGTGTGGGCCGATCACCACCACCGAGGGTTGGGTTGGCGACGCGCTCGCCTGACGGCGCCACGGCCTCGGCGGGGCGGCTGGCGATGTCTTCAGACATCTCCATCACCTTCGAGGGCTTGTAATTTAGCCACGAAAGAAGGGATGGAAAAGGCACAACACGGCTTGGACGGTAAGAACGAGGTCGAATAATACGAATAAAGCACCGTGTGCAAAGCATCAATTGGTGCACCGCATCCACGGCGATGGTGTCCGAGATGATGTTGTCCCTTCGACATTTATGGCAGTAAAATGAAGCTCGCTCCTGTAGCTGCCAGAGCTTTGTGTTGGGGGCAGCCCTCGCATTTGCATCGGGCGGTAACTTCTTCTCTCGTGCGTTGAATGTGGCAAAGTTGTTAAACGTCAGACGCCTGGGGCCACGGCTGTTGTTTTCGCTCGCAGTTAACGACATGCCGCTGCTGTGAGGAGCGGGTGGGAGACGCTGTCGTTGGTACGGCGCGCCTCTATCCAACGTGGCATGCCGCTGCAAGGCGATTCCGTTGCGTGGCGCCCTACTCATCGCTTTAACACTGTATCCCTCCTTTTATTTTTCCTTTCGTTTTTCTTTTTTTTTGCAGTTGTTTTTTTTTGTTGTTTGTTTCCCCCTTTATTCGTGAGGACTTCGTCTTCACCAGGAATCCCTCCCGCCAATGCCTCTAAAGAGAATTCGGGCCTCACTCCGCGCTGCTCCACGGGAGTATCCCCACTTGTGTGTGTTTGTTTCAACGAGGGACAAAAAGGGGTTGGGGAAAACTCATGTATTCTGCGACCACGACCAGAAGAGCAGCACCAAGACGGCAATCGACAAACAGACGCGCACTCAAAAAATGAGACCACCACACACAAGAATATATATATATATATATATATATATATTGCAGGGGAGCCTTACGTATTTCCCAAAAAAACAAAACAAGAATAAAAACAAGGAGGGTACTGGTGCCATCGCCGGCAAAAATAAAAACGTCGGAAGATGCGAAAACGGGACGAAAAGAGGCCACAAGCATCCATCACAGGCACCGTCGCATTTTTCCCTACGCGTAGCCAAACTTCTTCAGCACCTCCAATTTATTCTTGGAGACCCTCGAGAGAGCCTCCTTGCGCGCAGACTTCCAGGCGGCGCGTAACTTCTCCGTCTTCTTGTGGTGGCGGGCTGCCTTCTCCACACGGGCTGTCTCAAGCTTCTTTACAACATCGCTGTATTTCCAGCCAACGTGCTTGCACATGTTCCCCAGCACCGTGTAGGGACGCTCACTACGGTAGCAGTAGTGTCGCTGCGCCTTGGGGATCACCACACGGCCACCGGTGCGCACAACGTTCGTGGGAATGCCCTCGTACGCGACCAGCTGGCGCAGCGCCTTCTGACCGCGCTTGGTGTAGCGGGGTAGCATTGAACGCACCGTGCGAAGAAAAATGTCGGAGGGGCTGCGGTGGTGGAAGGGCCCGAGTTTCGGGTTTGACAGCTTCCGCTTGCGAAGAAACTGTAGGTACTTGATCTTGTTGCGGATTTCCGTTCCTGCAATCTTCAGCTGCTCGCAACGCACCGCGGTAATCTTCTTGCCGAGCAGAAGCTGCTTTGCGACGATGGCGGCAGCGCGCCCCAGCACGTGGTCCTTGAGGTCCACGACGATAATCTCGGGGCGGTGCTTCTTGCAGCCCTTGCGGGAGCGTCGGTCAACGGCCTGGCGAGTAGGCAACACCATCTTCGCTGTTGCTGACGCGTGCGCCGGAGACACCTGCGTGGGGTGCAAAGGAAGAAAACAAAAGAAAAAGAGCAAAACCCACAACACCGGTGGGGACATGACGCATGCACAGAGAGAAATGAAGCTGGCGTAAGAGGGGAGAGACCACGGGGCATGAATACGAAAAAAAAAAAGGCGTACATGCACTCAAAGTAAATAGATAGATAAATAAACGCATGGAAGAAAAAGATAGGGAAGCAAAAAACAGAACATATATATATATATATATATGTTCTGAGAGAGAAAGACCGGCAGGACTTTGTGAATGCCTGGAAGAACACGCCGCTGAGTGAGACGCCGGGAGGAAAAAACACCGCCAGATACACACACAGTCACACAATTATCAATCCTCTACCTTCACTTTTCCCTTTTTTTACTCTTTTTATTTAATCCAAGTGCGTGTGCGCACGTTTTAAAACGCGAAACCGAGTCCCTTCACAGCCTGAAAGTGTCCGCAAGCACCCCCCTTTTCATTCCAAACTGCCGTCTGGAAATGAAACCCTCACAATTTCGTCTCGTCATGCCCACCAGCACACACACACACACAGCCCCCTCGAGCACACAGTCAGCACACAATTAAAAACATATGGCTGCATGTGTGCAAGAAATAAGTGCCCGCCTCACTCCGAAGATGGCGCTCTGAGCAGCATGCGTTTTTTTTTTTAATCCCTCTTTTTCTCTGTTTGTGCGTGCGTCCTCCCCGTGCATTTCATTTCGGCAATGAACCCCCCTTCTGTAGGGGATATTATGACTCATCTCCTCTTCCCGGTCATGTGAACCTATTCATGTATGTATATATACATGCCCCTTCTCCTCTTTTTTATTATTATTATTTTTTTTTTTTACGCACCTCCTGATTCCTCGTTCATTTGCATATCATCGCTGCTGATGCTGAATTTGTTCTATTTTCACCATTACACTCAACATTTACTTTATATTCTTATTATTGTTTCTTGTTTGTTTCTTTGTTGCCCTCCCCATTTCTGCTCTCCCTCCCCCTCACCCCACTTTCCCGTTAGTACTGCGGCTTGAAGACCTGGAAGCTACACTTGCAGTTCTCATCCATCATCAACATCGCCCCACTGTTCGTAAACTCGCCGCAGTAGTTCGATGCGCTAAATATCGTCACCAACCGCCTTTCCGCAAAAAAGGCGTAACCGTTATCGACCACCTGGTGGGCCCGCAGCACAACGTCAATTTTAAGGTTCTCGCAGGCCCGTCGCACGACGTCCTCGCCGAACGTGTAGCTGACGCCGCGCTGGCTCTGCATCCATCCGCAGCTATTCTCTTCGGGGTCTGACCATAAAATGTCGCAGGCTAAACCCGCGTCCGGCACCACCAGCGGACGGCGGATCTGGTTGATCTGATTGAGGTTTCGTAGCTCTGGGCTCAAGCCACCGTGCATGCAGAGCGCAATCTCCTCAATGAGTGCGGCGATGGGAAGACAGTTAAAGACGTCTGTGAACTCCTTGAAAAGCTTCACGGAGAATCGGCGCTTCACCTCGTCAAAAAAGCCATATATTCTACAGATGCTCTCGGACTCGTGGTTGCCACGGAGAACGTACATCTTGTCAGGGTGGAGAACCTTCAGACCGAGTAACACGCTGATCACCTCTGTGCCGTACTTGCCACGATCCACATAGTCGCCAAGGAACAGGTAGCGCGACGTGGGCGGCATTCCCCCGGCTCGGAATATCTCTACGAGATCGTTGATCTGGCCGTGGATGTCCCCACAGACGTTAACTGGGGCCTCAAGTCTCACCATCATCGGTTGCGACATCAGCACTGGCCGCACACGACGCAGAACGGTGCGGATAATATCCTCGTTTAGGAGCTTCTGTGCACCCCGCCAGTCCTGCAGGACGGACGTCACTAATTGCCGGATGGCGGACTTCTCCTCCTCCTCAATGGACGTCTCAAGCCGCGGAACCGGGGCCGCCTCCCGCCGCTCCAGCGTCTTCTCCGCAGACTGAGAGCGACTGCGCTTGCGGGTAACCACGGCGGACATTACACGCGGATGGACCTTTTCGTTAGTTTATGCTCAAAGTGAGGCGCTACCGTCTCTGCCCGCAGGATGCCGCACACCCGCGTCTGTTGTTGGGGAAAAAATTAAAAAGTGTCAGCCCGGCAACCACCCACAAAGAAAAAAACACCTTCCGAATTTCAACAAGAAAACGACAACAAAAAAAAAGAAAAACGCTGGGATAAAAACGCCGCCACCCACGCGCACCACACTCACGCCAGCGAAGGGTGTGCAACGACCCGACCGAGCGCCAAGCAAACAAAAAACAAACCGCAGCTCACGCCTCACCTCCCTCACGCCGAAAGGCACCGAGTCTTGCTACTCTACGCCTAGAAACCTACACTATTGTCCCGCCCCACCCCCACCACCACAGCAGTAAAGGGACGGCCAAAAAAGACGCAGAGGGAGAAAAAAAGAAAACCGTGCACAGGAATAAAACCTTTTCCCCCAAGCACAGCGCCCAGCCGCACAAGACAAAAAAAAGCAAAAAAAAAAAAAAAGCTGCATTCTTCTCCCCTCCCTCCCCAGAGACGCACATATTTCCTTCCCTCTCAAATCTGGTGGTTTCGTGACCAATTGTTTTTGCCCCAATAACAAAAAAAAAAAAAAAAAAAAAGAGCACGACATCGATCCCGCAGAACGTCTCGACTCTGCTCTTTTACTTTATTTCATTTTCATTTCATTTATTTATTTCGATTCCCGAAAACAGTGAGGCTCAGATCTTATTCCAGGCGACAATGTCCATGGACTGCACTTCGTCCTCAAACGACATGATCAATTCCTCCAAATCATCACTGGAGACCTTGTCGTCCTCAATGACGATAAGCTGCTGCAGCTTCTTCACGCCGAATGCCACAGGCACCAGCTTGTGGTCGCCCCACAGCAGGCCGTCGCGCTTAACGGCGTGCAGCTTATCTGCCAGCGCCTGCAAATCCACGGTGTCGTCCCACGGCTTGACGTCGAACAGGATGGAGGATTTGGCGATAACCTCCTTCTTTGCCTTCTTGGCGTCAGCGTCCTTCTTCTTCTTGGCCTCAAGAGCAGCTGTCTCCTCCTCCGTCGCTTCCCCGAAGAGGTCAATGTCTTCGTCTTCATCGGCCTGCTTGGCGGGGGCAGACGCCGCCTTCTTTGGTGCCTGCTTTGCGGGAGCGGAAGCCGAAGTGGTAGCTGTTACCTTCACAGGGGCCCCCCACGCCTTGCGCTCCGCCTCCGTGAAGGAGGCCATATGCTTCACCCAACGGTACAAGGATGTGTTTTCGGCGCCCAGCAAGTCGTTGAACAGCTTCACGTCCTCTTGGGAAGGCTTTGTGCCGCCCAAAAAAAGCTTGCCCTTCAGCTTGCCCTCCAGCTCACCGCTCCTCTTGTTGACGTCCTTAACAGACATTGGCTTTTTTTTCTGTTACCTTATAGGATAGTTCTTAGCTTGCTGGAAAAAGAATGGGCAAAAATTATATATAGATTTATTTATTTATTTAAAGAAAAGAAGGCACCAGCACAATGTATACTCAGCGCAGCAAGCTGAAGAAGCATGCATGTAACAGATAAATAAATACTGAAACTGCCAACAGGACCAGAAACGCTGAAGAGACGTAGTGCCGACACCATATCCTACAAGCCGCCACCCTACGCATTGTGGCGTGCAATGACAGGGAATGCGTCCATCGTCCTCAAAATAAGTTTGACCTGTTCCAACAGTGCTCCTACTGCCGCGCGTAGTGAACGTTCCTGTGACGCCTCTATTTTGACGTAGACTGTAGACCGTGTGCTATCATCCGCCCAAAGCTGAACCTCCCTTGACGTCCCGGGCACGGGCGGCTCCACGCGCAGCACCTGTATCATGATTTGCGCGGGTTCCGCAGCTCGAAGAGGCAATCGCAGAACACACTCCAGCGTGTCCTGATCTTTTTCCTCAACACGAACCTTCGCGGGCTGCATCCGTCCTTTTGCCCTTCCCTCCTCCTCTTGCTGTTTTGACTTGTTTCCCACAGAGGTTGCCCTTCCACCGACGTAAACAAGCCCTCCCCTAACCACTACGCATCCCGTTTGTCTCAACACAAAACAAGAAAAAAAAAAGTCTATTTATTTCACAACTTAGACGTCCTCTTTTTGCTGCAATAACGTCACCGCCCCCACCGCCAAGCACCCCGCCGGTCCAAAAGGGGGTGTGCACGATGAAAACACGTCCATTCAGGCAAAAAAAAAAAAAACGCCGCACGCCATGCAATAAGCATCAGCCATAGAATGGGAGTATCATGGCAGAAAGAGAAAGATGATGATGAGGGAAGAGGAGGCAACAAAATGAGCAACAAGGTACTAACATCCACTCAAAGAGTCCATCCCATCAACAGCCGTACGCAGTGCGGCAATAAGCGCGTCAAGACTCTCAGCATCCAGCTCCATCGTCAAACGGTCATTGGGAAGCAGCATGCGTTCGGCTGGCTGCCCTTCCCCGCCACCTTGCACCTCGGAGGAGGCTGTGGCGAGAAGCCGCAGACGTCCTCCTGATACGGGCGACACCAGCAGAGAAATCGAAGCGACCTCGCTGGGAGGCGCCACGCGAGCCACATCCATAGCAAGCTGCAGCAACGGCATGCCTCCACCGCTGTTGCGGGGGTTCGTATCCGCCCCATCTGCTCCCCCCTCCATGCTTACTGTACGAGCCGTCGCGCGGTTCATGGCGGCGGTCGAAAGGCGGTCAGTGGCCAGCACATACGACGCAGTCCAGTCAAAATCAAGAAGAACCGCCTCAGGGGAGACGCCCATCATTCGCCGCCCGCCCCAACGACTGTAAAAAAAAAGACAAATGAAGGCAATATAAAAGACTTTTCCTGCTTCTTTTTAGTGCCTGCACCACCACCACCCCTGCAGTGTTCACGTATGGATTCCACGCAATTTTGTGGGTGACGCGGCCACGTGTCAGAGAAGAACTCCTCCCACCACCCCAATTCCCTTTTTTGTGTGTGTGCTTGCAGGACCCTGAAAAAAAATTTATTCCGCCTCCTCCTGGATATTTGTCCCTTTCTTTGGCGTCCGGCCACACACCCAACACACAGCCGCTGCCGCACAAAAGAGAATGAAAGAGAAAGAGAAGGCAATGCATGATGTCACTTGCCAATTTACCCAGACAAAACACCACATCACGCGCAACACAAACATTCGTGCGTACACGACGACATTTTATAATTTGTCTGTTTGTTTTTCTTAAATGTTGCCTTGTGAATCCTCACTTTTGTGGAGAAAACAATTGTTATGTGAAGACCCCACCAGACGTCAAACGCAAGTGCAAAATCACGAGGGTAAGAGTGGGGTGCGTTGGGGGTCAAAACAAAAAAAAAAAGGGTGGTGTTAGGGGAAAGGAGAGGGGGGAAGGGAAAGGGATGAGAAACCACACTGAAAAGCAAAGCACATAAACATATATAAATATATGAATAAATATATAAACAACAGTAAAAAAAAGAAAAAGAAAAAAAAAAGACAAGAGGAATAACAGTGAGAGAAGAAAATACATCAATAACTCTTGTTTGTTTGTTTTTTATTGTTGTTGTTTTTTAACCTCCTCTTCATCTCGCCATCCATCCATCTCTCACTCCGTGTGCGGCTTGTGTTGTTGAGCCGTCCTGCTGCCCATCCCCACCGCCCCACGACCCCACTCGCTTGCTGGCCCACACACCTCCGGAAGCATGCGCAATGGACACTCGCCGTGCACGGTGAATTGTGCAGCGGCACTTAGACACACACACACACACACACACACACACAAACGCGCCTGTTACACGTGTTCATACATCGCGGTTTGTACTCATGCCACACCACCGCCGCCACACCAACGACATGAATAAAGAGAGAAAAGTGCGGCACACACACACAAAAAAAAGCAAAACCAACAAAAAAAGAGTCAAGGAGCGAATTTCCGTGCAGGGAAGCCCCGGGCGGGTAGGGGGGGAGAAGGGGCAGCAGGCGTAGACACCACCACCACCATCCCCCACGAGGATCCCTCACAGCCGCGAAGCAAAACGGCACCGGAAAAACACGCCACCATATCAAAAGAAACATAAAACATATCAAATCAATAAGAAAGCAAATAAAGCAGGAAACGATGAAAAAAAAAAAAAAAAAAAGAACTAACGAATATTCCAGCGGCAGCGGGGAAAGCGGGGGGGAGAGGGGAGGGATCACTTTTTGAAGCAGCGGTGGCGCCGTACAAACCACAACTGCTTTGAAGCAAGCACCCTTTCCTCCCCACCCCTCCTATCCGCAGCATCTCTGCAATACATACATACATAAATATAGATAGATAGGTAGGTAGGTAGATAATAAATGCATATATGTAAATTTATAAACAATTATTTGCCCGCCACCCTTTCCTTTTTCCCTTCATTACACACATCATACGTCAATGTATATTTGTGCCTTTTCCCTCCTCTTTCTTCTTTTTTTTTTTTTTTTTTCGTTTGACACCCTCCCTCTTTCCTTCCCCACACCCCCCGCTCGCGTCGTCCTCTCGCTGCATCACATTTCCTTCGTAACTTTTGCAACACCAGCCACGCCCCAATTACCCGTGACTGTAAGAGAAAGGGAGCCCCAATGGTGAAAGACACAAACAAACAAAAAAAAAAAAAATGAAGGAACAAAAACAAAATGAATAAAGAGAAAAGAAAAAAAAAGGACAGCAGGAAAAATAAAACAAAACTAAGGGTGTAAGAATCCTCCTCTTAAAGGCTCGGCAACACATGCACCTCCCAGACGTATTCGTATAGTTACATGTATACATATGTGCGTGTGTGTGTTTGTTTGTGTTTCTTTTTGTGTGTTTCTGGCTATTGCCAGTTCTTGCACACTCTCCCTGCGCTGCACAATATATAAATCAGCAGCGACCAGCCACGCAAGCACAGCGTTTGGCATGCGCCGTCTTCTTTTCTTTTCTTTTTTTTTTTCCTTTTTTTTTTGTTTTGTTTTTTTTTATTGTACATTAAACCATGGGGGCAAAAAGTCGCGGGATGACGCAGAAGTGATCGAGCAAGAAAAAAAAAAAGAAAAATCAAAGAGCACACACTCACGCGCCAAAAAAAAAAAGAAAAAAAAAAGCAGCTAAAATGTGAAATAAAAACGTGCAGACTTGCCCCGCCACATTCACTCGGCCACAGTTCCCTACAGTCAAACCTCAACCTCCCCCACCCTCCTCTCCCACCCCCTAACCCCCCAACAAAAAAGAGGAAAAAAAAAAAAAAACAGACGTTCTACTCCTCCCTCCTCCACACAAATGCACCGGTCAAAAAAAACTCCAAACACAAACGACGCCTACACACACACAATAAAAAAAAAAATTTTTTTTAAGGCATCCCCGCCACGCCCTCACAACGCCTTCGCAAGGCGGTTGATAAAAACAAGTGAAAGGCAGTTGGCACGGGGGACCGTCGGCGCAGCAGCCGCACGCCTTTCTACAAGCCAGTGTAGTAACGAGGGAAAGCGGGGGAAGAGTAATGACAAGAGAAGGTTCCACCCGCAGTATCTTTGCTCCTCTTACTCCCCCGCCGCCGCCACACAAGTGCGACGCAGCCACGGGGCACCCTAAATCGCGTAAAACTGACACGGCGGCCATACACACTCGTAACTCAAAGCCAATGCCAACACGGACCACACACCCACGAACCGTCAATTTCCAAAAAGAAAAGCAAAACGAGGAACGAGGGCGGAATCCAAGTAGACAAAAGACTTTTAATCTCCATGGCCACTGCAACTGCCGCGCCAGTGGTGAATGCACAAACCTCCCCCGACACATTGACTACAAAAACTACTCCGTAACAAAAAAAAAAACATAATGACATAAAATTCAACAAAATATGATACCTTTGTAAAAAGCTAACTGTTTGCCGGAACAATGAGGAATGAGCACTGCAGCTTTTCATCTACATTCATCACGGCCGCGTCATTGTCGAACTCGCCGCAGTAATTCGGAGCCGAAAAAATCGTCACTAGCTGCCGGTTGGCAAAGAACCCGTACCCACGCTCCATCACCTGGTGCGCACGCACCACCAGGTCCATGTCCACCATGTCTAGGAAGTCGCTCACAATGTCCTCGCCGAACAGGTAGCTCACGCCCCGGTCGCTCTCCAGGAAGCCCCTCACCTCGTCCTCAGGGTCAGCCCAGAGAAGGTCGCACAGGATGCCCTTGTCCGGCACATCACACGGACGCTCTATTTCGTTCACGGTGGCAAGCGAGGTCATGTCAGGACTCAGTCCGCCGTGCATGCAGATGATCTTCTCGCTCACAACGCAGCACACGGGCATCGTGTTGAACACATCCGTGAAGGCCTTGAACAGCTTGATGTTGTACCGGCGCTTCACGTCGTCGAAGAAGCCGTACATCTTGTTGATGCTGGCGCATTCGTGGTTGCCGCGCAGCAAAAAGAAGTTTTCCGGGTACACAATCTTGTAGCAGTACAGGAGGGTGATGGTCTCCACGCTGTGCTTGCCGCGATCCACATAGTCGCCAAGGAACAGGTAGTTCGAGTACGGCGGAAACCCACACTTCTCAAATATGCGCATCAGGTCGTAGTACTGCCCGTGGGTGTCGCCGCAGATGCGCACCGGAGCCCTGATTTCCAGCAGCATTGGCTGCGACATAAACACGTCGCGGACAGAATTAAGAACGCTGCGTATGTCCTCCTCACGGATGAGGATCTGCCGCTGCGTGTTGCTTCCCTTCACCGTAAGCAACCTCTCAATGAGGTTATGCACTACGTTTGATGTCATCAATCTACTAACTCAGTATATACAAATATTTGCGGGCCCGCAGGATGTCTCTATTTTTCTCTTCACAGCCCTTCTTCTGGCGTGGAAGCACCGACAACTTTGCAAAAAAAAAAAAAAAAAAAAAAAAAAGGCAGCCGGCCAAGGGAGGACTGAATAAAAAGAGCAAAATAATAATAATAGTAATTCATGTTGCAGGGAAAAGCAGGCATCAGATGTCACGTGTTGGTACATCCGCCAAAGGGGAGGGGGGGGGGGGGGAAACACATGTAAGAACAAAATAAAAATAAAAATAAAAAACAAAGACTAAACGTCGGATGCGTAAGGCAAGAGGCATCATGCACCACACACACAAACAAATACACACACACACACAAAAAAAAAAAAAAAAAAAAAAAAAAGACGGATCTCGGGACAAAACGGAAAACAGGTGCGCAATCAAAACTTAAAATAAAATAAACCGCTTTTTTTTTTTTTTTTTTTTTTTTGTCTTTTCGTTTTGTTTATGTTTTTTAATTGACCCCTTCCCCTTCCCTCCCATCCCGGGAAAAATGGCACGCACAAAACACACACCCAAACCGCTCGAGAAATGCAGAAAAAAATAATATTTGGAGCGGAATGACAAAACAAAAATGTCGCAGAGAAGAAAGGGGGGGGGAAAAAAAAAAAAAAAAAAAAAAAAAAAAAAGGGAACACCGCAGCGCCATAAATAAAAAATAAAAAAAATTTGGGAGAAAAAAAAAAAAAAAAAAACAGAACTCGCACGACAATAAAAAGAGGAGGGGGGATTTTTATGCACAAACTCCCCAGCGTACAAAAAAAAAAAAAAAAAAAAGTAAAAAATAATAAAAATAAAAATAAAAACTCCGAATCTGCGCCATAGCAGGGGCCCTTTTCTTCTCTAACCCCCTCCCCACAGACACACACACAGAGAAAAAAGAAAAAAAACGCGGCAGCGAGACACGGCAGTTTGGCTCTTTACGCCCGACACACGCAGACACGTTTCAGAGAGGAATTATCGCACACGCAAGGCAAAAATAAATAAGTTCCTAATGGCACATCGTCATGGTAGTTGGCCTCTTCTTGACGTCAAAAAGCGGCGGTTCCTGTTGCCCCTCAACCGCAAGACTCCTCCGCGTAGATGGTAACAGAAGGGAATTGGTAAAAAGACAAAAAATAAATAAATAAATAATGGCCGTCTGCTGCCCTTCAACAGGGTATCATAAATTACAACGATTAATTACCAGATATATATTTTTTTATTAATTTATTTACTTAAAAGGAAAAAGGTTAAACAAGAGAAAATATTATCCCACTCGTCACATCAACTGGCACATTCCTTCCGCAATCCTATCATACAATCACCTCCCCCTTCCCTCAAATATACTACGCTCAATATTTCCCATGGCTCAATACACCGTTAAAAATGCATGGACTCAATCCCCGCCTGCATCACCTCAACGTGCAGGAATAATGAGGAATGAGCACTGCAGCTTTTCATCTACATTCATCACGGCCGCGTCATTGTCGAACTCGCCGCAGTAATTCGGAGCCGAAAAAATCGTCACTAGCTGCCGGTTGGCAAAGAACCCGTACCCATGCTCCATCACCTGGTGCGCACGCACCACCAGGTCCATGTCCACCATGTCTAGGAAGTCGCTCACAATGTCCTCGCCGAACAGGTAGCTCACGCCCCGGTCGCTCTCCAGGAAGCCCCTCACCTCGTCCTCAGGGTCAGCCCAGAGAAGGTCGCACAGGATGCCCTTGTCCGGCACATCACACGGACGCTCTATTTCGTTCACGGTGGCAAGCGAGGTCATGTCAGGACTCAGTCCGCCGTGCATGCAGATGATCTTCTCGCTCACAACGCAGCACACGGGCATCGTGTTGAACACATCCGTGAAGGCCTTGAACAGCTTGATGTTGTACCGGCGCTTCACGTCGTCGAAGAAGCCGTACATCTTGTTGATGCTGGCGCATTCGTGGTTGCCGCGCAGCAAAAAGAAGTTTTCCGGGTACACAATCTTGTAGCAGTACAGGAGGGTGATGGTCTCCACGCTGTGCTTGCCGCGATCCACATAGTCGCCAAGGAACAGGTAGTTCGAGTACGGCGGAAACCCACACTTCTCAAATATGCGCATCAGGTCGTAGTACTGCCCGTGGGTGTCGCCGCAGATGCGCACCGGTGGCCTGATTTCCAACAGCATTGGCTGCGACATAAACACGTCGCGGACAGAATCAAGAACGCTGCGTATGTCCTCCTCACGGATGAGAATCTGCTGCTGCGTCGCGCTTTTTGTCAGCGTCAGCATCTTTTCAAGGAGGTTGTGCGCTAGAGACATACTGCTCAATTGAACACCAATGCGCCGACGTTTCTTGTCACCTTCCCTCCCGTTTCAGAGTTCCTTTATTACACTAACCCTTTTTGATGTTCCCCCCAACAGAGCGTCCAATAAAACACTGCTCCCCCCAGAGATCCAATCAAGAGAAAGAGAAGAGAGTGTGAGCAGCAGGAGGGCTGGTGTTCAAAACGGTTCTCGTGGGTACTCGCTAATCTTGAACAGAGAATCATATTGATTATCACAAAATGCATGAACCTAACCTCCTCATTGGGGTGTTGTGAGGGGAAAAAAAAAAAAATTGGTGGCTAGTGGTACAGCTAGCACTCTTCTTAATGCATTAATCATACGTCTCCTGCTGGTAGTACTCATTTAGTGCCTCACTTGCATACACGTTGCCGCCAGTGATAAATGATGCCGCAACGAAGAAGTAACGGACTTTGTTGTAGAGGGAGTGCCAGAGCCGTGTTGACCACGGCAGATACGCAGTCTGCCTAATCGCATGGGCAGCGTGGATTTCTGAACCCGAAATTGATAGCTCCATGGAGATGCCGACGGCATTTGCCCGACGTTCCTCCTCCTGTTCCTCCTCAAAGGGTTCTCTTGTGCTGGCCAATCTATGCCGCAACAATTCAACTCGCTCGCGTAAAAGCTGCCGACGGCTTAACATCTCCCTCTCTTGTGTAATCTTTTGCGCTCTTTGCTCACGCGACATGTCCCTCTCCTGCTTCTCAATGGCGCCTGTCATTGCGTACATCACATTCAGTGGAATGATACCCGCATCACCACAACCCTCACCACAGCTATCCTCGCTGTCGGTGGATGAAAGCAAGGTGCTGTCATGCTCCACAGCTATCGACGTTTCCAAATTTTCTCGTGGCAGTACTGACATGAAGCTGCTCTACCGTCTTGGTGTGTAAAGAAATAAGACGGGCCACCCAGACACACACACACACAAAAAAAATGGCGGCAGGAGAAATGTCAGAATAAGTGCGGGTCATATTGCAAAGAAAGCAAAACAAAAACAGCAAATTAGGATGAGTGAGTGGGCAAAAATGGTCTCCGCAGGGGAGTAAAGCAAAACATATGTATATATGCATTCATTTAACAATGAACCTGATGCTGTTTGGAACTTTTCACTCGATGTCGCAGCCACAATCAGTGCGCGTCACCCTACCTTTTCTACTCGTTGCGCAGTCTGTGCAATAACGAGTCCACATGTGCCAATCCAACGCCATTCCGCATGCACCCCGTTACATCTATCCGACTTCCGATTGAGGAGCGACATAACGCCACGGCACGCAGGAGAATGTTTGCCAGCAGGTTCGCGTCCACATCCCCACGGCGAAGAGGAATGAGATGAACTGGGTCAGCGACGTTGTTGTTCTTTGCGATTGCCACGCGCTCGTTAAAACTTGGGTTTACAATGTCAGTTACTCGAAACAACGTAAAGCGCATTGGTCCGCCATGCTGAAGACACAGCGCGGAAGGAGAGCCGTCGTCGTCAATTAGAAGATGTTCCTGCCGTCGCGTGGCCTTGAGATAGCCGACGCGGTACAAAAACAGCGTGCGGTACCATTGCAGCGCCGAAGCCCACGAGGATCTGTTGAAGAGCGGTACAAATGCAACGAGGTGGGCGTCCACGAGACTACATGCATCGATCGTGTGGCGCAGCCCTTCAACATCCACCTTGACACAGCCAGGAACATTGCTCTTTGCCCACGGCCTCCACCAGCTGCTGCACTTTGCGGATGCCATGTACACAACAATAGATGCCTGCCGCACCGCATGCTGCACAGCCTGTGGGGACGTTACATCGCCTTTCAGTATTTCCAACTGCAACGGTACAGCAAAGTTTCCCCTCTTCATGCTGGACGTGTAACGCAAAAAGCAGTCGCATTCCATCAGGTCCATGTTGTGTTCTTCCACAATCTCCGTACCCTTTGTTACATTGCACCGCAGACGCGGAAGGAGAGTGTTCTTTGCCTTCTCAAGATCCCGCGCAAGAACCGTCACGCTAATGCCACGCCGAAGACACTGATCCGCAACAAACCGCGCAAAGAAACCGGTGCCGCCGATGAGCGTTACTGTCGAAAATGCAGCTGGTGTGTCAAGTTCCCTGGAAACGTCCATTGTGTTTTGCCGCGGGAAAAAAATGTAGTGCCGCGCTGACTCCTGCATTGTCGCACAGCCTGCAGCATCCATATCAGGAGAAGCGGCTGCTCGGCCCCGCTCAAGGTTGCATTCGTGTCTGGTGCTCTCCTCCCGCATGACACCGTGGAACGGTGACGCGACGCTCCGCAGCACACGTGACTGGACCCATTCCCCGAGGTCATACCTCGCCATCGACGGCTCCCCTCCCCGGCGACACGGCACCGACACCCATAAAACAGCAGAGCAGCACACAGCACAGACAAAGAAAGAAAAAAAAAAGAGGGGAGGAATGGGGCAGTGTATACTTATATACATTTATATGCGTATGTGTTTTTGTGTGTCAGCACACACGCGTCTGTCGGCATCTTGTGAGTTGCCATTCCGCCCACACTTCCCCAAATTCCAAAATAAACGGAGGAAAAAACTTTTAATTCGGCAAAAAAAAAAAAAAAAAACTGCAAAAAACGCAAAATATGGCCCTGATCAGCCGTCTTTCTTTTTCTGTTGTTGTTGTTTTTTGTATCTCAGCGAGAAAAAAAAGTCATTTTTTATGCGCGCGCTGTCGTCGGCGGTCCATGCATGGATGCCTGCAGCATTTTTCTGCATCGGCTTCCCTCCGGTTCCGCGGCAACAAGCTGCTCGATAAGGTCTGGGCGCTCCACAATGCCTGCACCTTTGGCGCACGCCACCCGCACCAAGTCACTCTTGTGTCCCTTGTATACCTCGAAAACATCCTCGACGAAGCGCTCATAGCTCAGCAGAGCAAGATAAATGATGGTGTACGCCAACTGGCCAAGAATGCGATTTGAGCTCAGCTGATCTTCAGAGATGCGAATCACACGTTCCACTTCCGGGGCCCGAGTGGACGCCACCGTTAAGAACTTAAGCTCCTCCAGAAGTTCCCGTACTCCCTTTGTGGTGGTCTCCTTCGCCAGCGCGGCAAGAACGTCAACAGGCGTGTCAAACGGGTATGAAGTGCCCATGACGTCGTTGAAGCGCTGCACAAGCGGCCTGCCGCCACAAAGACGGGTATTCTGTGGGTAATTAACAGTGCAGAAAACAGGAACCTCTAATAAAATTTCCTCTTCATCACCCTCCTCAAGACGTGCCAGGCGGTGATCCACCTGCAAATCAAGTCGTGTATGAAACATGAGCAAAGACTTGGAGTAAATGGTGCGAAAAGCAGCCATGCGCAGCGGGGTTCCCTCCAGATGTTCGTTTCCGTCGCTCAACAGGAGCGGCCAACCAAAGACAAAGGGATTGGACTTCATCATCTTGTCTTCCAGAAGCCGAAAATGAGGAGAAGTTCCAAGGAATATGTTATGCTCGTGGGGGTAATCCAACTCGAGGGTCTTCGGGTCGCGTCGTCGCATGTCCTCGACAAAACGATCCTTGATACTGACAGGGCTGAGTGTTCCGCTAAGTGTCTCCTTCGTCGCCGTCTCAATTGAGTTTTGTACGGACTCGTAGTAGGGGAGATGCTTCTTCATGTGCTGAGCATCTACTTCCAAAAACTCGCTGAAAATGCGTTTTAATGAATCCAGGGAAGGTCGAACCGCGTGCCACAGCAGTGGCGGAAAGTGCTCTGACAGCTGCACAAGCAGTTTCTCTGAAGGACTGTTGTGGTCCCAAAGCAACCGGCATGCGTGCTGCGGCTCATTCACGACGGGAGCATCCTCACGATCTGGAAATGCAAAGGCCTCACCAATGATGGTGTATTCAGCCTCTTCATTGCCAAGGCACAGCCGCCGGCGCAAAATGCTACTCATCCGCGCCGGGTCCCAGAGTTCCTTGTCAAAAATGAACCGCATCTTTCGCCACGCGAGTTCGTCGTATATTTTCACGTCGTATGAACTGGCCGTCTTGGACTCCTTGGCATCACTGCGCAGCTGCAAGACCCATGAGGGTGGCTGAGGACAATTTGAATGGCAGCAACGTCTTGAGAGGCCGAAAGTCACCGGTAAGCCAACGACCTCTAGGCCGTCACACAGCCGCCACCTCCACATTCCCTTCGGTTTAATTTATTTCCCTTCTTTTAATTCCTCCCACCCCCCCCACCGCCTAATTTTCCCTTTAATTCCTAATTTCCGTTTGTGTGGGTATTTTCAATAGCCAGGAGCAAAGGGGCACAAGAAATATTCGCACTTACTTCTCTTCAAACATTGTGCATTGTACCTTCCTCAAATTATTTGTTAGGGCCCATTTACTACTGTTTTCTTTCCTACTTCTTTCCTTACGGCATTTGTCCTCTTTCATTCCTGAATTCATTATAAATTTTACACGAAAATATCTTCATATATATATATATATATATATATATATATAGTATGCGTGTGTGTGTGAAAGATTTTTCCGCTGGAATGTGCTTAAGCGTCGAACTCACTCACACGAGTAGGACGGCGCTGGTGCCATCTTCCTCCTGCGGCTCACGGTAGGCAACAGTCGGAAGCTGCGATTTCGAAATGGGCCGTGTCACCTCTGCCGTGAAGAGACGCGCGTACGTCTTCTCGTACCGCAGCGGCGCCTGATCCTCTGCAGTACTGCCGAATGCCGACACCATCAACGGCACTGTCGGAATAAAGTGCCTCTCCAACGCCGTGAGCTCCCACAATGTGCTGTGCAATGCGTGGCACGCTTCAAGACTCGCCTCCTCCAAGAAAGGATCATTACCATCGAAAAGTGACGCTGTCAAACGTTGTGCCTCCTCTTTCGCAATCTTCCCCGATTTATTTGGCTGTTCCACTTCCCCAGTCTCTGCCGCGCCATCGGCTGCTTCCACCGCCTCCTTCGTGGAGCGATGAATCAAAGCGAGGCAATTGGGATGTCGTTGCAGCACCTTGCGGATGAATGGAAGAGCAAAATAAAGTACCGGTGACGGTGAAAGCAGGGCCACACGCGCTACTTTCTTCACAAACGCCGCTGCAATGTATGAGGGAACACGCAAGGAACTTGTAGAGAGATCCAGCAGACGGAAAAGATCGTACCGGTGGCGCGATGCAAATGCGTCCGGGGTGACAAGCGTGTAGAGCTGCTGGTAGTACTGGGGATATTCCAGGCCGTGGTCAAGCATGAGGAGGAAGATGCCGTGCAACGCCAGCACAGCAACAAGGCCACCACTAGAAAAGCAGCCGCTCAAGTGGTCGGCGACAACAAGCGGGTTGGTAAGGTGCGGCAAAATTACGTCGCCTATGCGATGCAGTATGTGCAGATGGAGAGCAGCAGCCGCAGCGTGGTGTAGACACGGCAGCCACAGTGCGGTGAAGTAGTGCCGGTGGGCACGCTCTGAGAAGACGGAGAGAACAGATGTCATCAACGCCTTCCTCCGCTCGGCAGCGTTGGAATGTACATACGAATCGTTCGCCTCAAATTTAGATCGCTCCTTTTTCAGGAACCCCCACTGAAGGCGAAGCTTCGACAGGTCCGGAATCACGCGGCCGTAGAAAAGCACAAAGACGTTCACAACAATTGCAGATATCGCCGTGTCACCATTACGCCCGCGTTTCTTCGCTGAACGCTCGACAAATGTTGCGGTGGCCCGGAACAAAAAAAACCACACGTCGTCCCCCGCATTGGCAGCACGCAGTGCCTCGCGCAGTTCTGCCACCCGCGGACTGCACTCGTCCGGGCTCACGTGATCCCGCACCGGTCGCACCAACGCGGCGCTCAGACAACTCTCCAGCAGTGGACGCACCGTCGCATCGAAGCGCCCGCACAGCTCCTGGTACGTCGCGCACTGCCCACAGCGCTTCAGTGCCGCGGTGATTTTCGCGTTCATCTTGTCCCCCTGGCCGCTGTCTGCTGCAGTCACTCTATTTCTCTTCCTCGTCCCACGGAGAAAACCTTAATAATAAAAAACAAAGACATCACCACCCAACACAACAAAACGTAATGAAATACCTGAGAAAATGAAATCAAAATTCAACACTGCATTCAAACTGTCATGTGAAAGAAAAAAATAGACGATGACCACCTCACAATAACAACAAAAACAAAAAGACGGATATTTTTTTTTCTTGTCAATCCTCTTTCTGATTTACTTCAATGTGAAGGCCTTTATTTATTTATTTTTTTTTTTCTTCTTGTCCTCTTACCTCCGTCGTGGTGAATGCCACCACTTCACTCGGTGGGCAGTTTCAGAAACTCTGCGATATCCCCCGGACAGACGTTCGGCTCAATGTCAAGTCGCGTCAGTTGCGCCACAACGACCGTCACGTCGTCCTGCTTCCCGCCAGTGTAACGGTACCCCATCGCCCTTGCGTTTTTTGCAAAGGGTGAATCGAATTTCTCATCAGCCCCATTTTTACAGGCCTCCTCAACTAGAGTCTCCGCAACACGCTGGCAGCCTTCACGCTCAACGTTCTCTAAACGCCGCAGGATATCTGACATTTCGACATTGTCTAGCAAGCCGTCACTCGCACAAAGGAACACGTCGCCCTCGCTCACTTCAAGAGTTGTACGGTCCCCGGCAGAAGGCGGATCCTCCGGGAGTTGGTATGGGCAGTTAAACCTGTGCTGCTGCGCCTCGGTGGCAAAGAATAGCTTGGAGCTCCGCAGACATATCGTGCCGCAGTCGCCAAGGTTCAGTACGGATGCAAAACGCCCATCAACAAGAGTCACGAGTGACACCGGACATCCGCCAGGTTTACCTCTTTTTTGTGTTTCTGCAAACCCATAATTGAGAGCCTCCAGGGCGCTGATGGTGCCGCGATTTTGATCCTTCTCCAAGGCCTGTCGGGTGAACCTCATAATATTCCTCGTGAATACGGCGGGATCGACGCCGATTCGTGCGTACCCGCCAACGCCGTCAGCCACACCGATACCGCTCGTGTGCACCAAAAACGCATCCTCACCGCCATTCTTCGCCTTTGACGGGTGTGGCACTGCAAATGCACCGCGGCGCCCGAACCACAAGAGTGGCTGAACCGATGCGGCAGAGAAGAGCCGGCGCGAGCATGCAAACATCACCCTGACATGCAGGAGGAAAAAGGCAAAAAGAGAGTTTAAAAGGAGGATCCTCTCGGCATCGAGAGGAAAGAAAAAAAAAATGGCCAGTAAAAAAAAATGGCTAGGGTCAGGTATGCCCCCTCACCAACTGGGCGCAACTGCAGGCAAGAGCAACTGCAATTCCGTTGCCTCCCTCAACAATTCGAGGCATTTTGGGCTCCACGGTAAATCCCACCCACTTCCTTCAATAGAGTTATTTCCTTTTTTTTTTGCTTGTACATCACTTGTACCGCCCTTCTTTCGTCGTGCCGTCCGCAAAGGTCGTCACGCGCACACCATCTACGCGGTCGAGGATGGAAGTCTTGTTCGGGTACTCATAAAGCGTACTGCCATCCGCAAACACTGTGGTGGTTAGATCACTCTTCTTGAATACTCTGGTCCCATCGGGCCGCAGTAGTGTCAAATCACCATTTTTATACGCATATTGCCATGTACCGTCCTCCAGTTGTGTACAGTGGGGATCTTGAGTGGCTGTGCCAACATTGGCCGTTTCCTCCTCCTCTTTCCTAGGTTCTTTTGTTGTCTGTGTGGATGCCTTTAAATCCCGAGATGCCTTTTCAGGGGCTGCATCGCTGCCTGCTACCGTAATTTCAACTGTGTCCGACGTAAGAATGGTGGCGCCACTGCCGCGTAATTTACTCATCTCTGCCAGAGCCGCCTCTCGCTCCATCTTTGTACGCTGAGCTTGGACTTTCCTCTCCCGCTCGGCCGACTTGTAGTAACTCTCTGCTTGTTTCCATTGCTGCAGGACAAAACCCCAGTTCATCTTTAGCACGGCCTCCTGGGCAACCTGAGCACGGATCGAAGAAAGACTCCCATGTAGGTCGTCGACCGTGTCGGTAACCGCGGCAGCCATCGCTGCCACAGTTGCAGTTGATGCTTCTGCAACAAGTGGGTTGCGGGCCGCACGAGACCACGGCGCCGGAGAGGACTCTGCAGCACTCGTTTTTGTCCTCGCCCCAATCGCTGACAGTAGCCTGCCCTCAGTCATGTTAATAACAGCCAGCGGCCAAAGCCCAAGCACCAGCGGCACACGGTTGGCCGGAAAGTTTACCACCACAAGACGGTGACCCTCAGGCCGTTCCTTGTCGTACACCAGCCACGTCCATCCGGGCTCCCGCCGGCTCGTTGCGTACATCACAAATTCATCCGTAAAATGCGTAAACAACCCAAACTGCCCTGCAGCAATGCTTTCCCACTCCACTGGCATACCCCCACCACTCTGTGAACACTTTTCCTCAAGATGCATGCAGAAGTGCTCGCTCGAAAGAAAATGGACGCGCCGTTTGAGACACGCCCGACAAGGGTGCCTCAAAAAGGCACTGTGTTCCGCCAGCGCAGTAAGTGGAAGCGCATGCGCCATCACGGGGCAGTCAGGCAAATGCACATCGTTTCTTCTGGACGTGTGGCCGCTGGCCACAATGAGCTGTGCCGCGGAGACATTCACCCCCTTCGCGATGGGTGGATCGAGCAGCGGAAGAAGAACCGGGACAAGTTTTTGCAGCTCACTTGCCACAAGTGCTGCCCTCCCCGCTGTCACACACAACAAAGCTGAAGTTATCCCCAACATTCCCGCAGCGCGTGAGAACGTCCCAGTCTTTGCTTTCTTCACTTCGTGTAGGTCCCTTCCCTGTGCCGAGAAACGACCTCTCACTCTCCTCAAGGAAGAAGATGCCAAGCGCCAGCGACATCACAACAACAACAAAAGGTAAAATGGCTCAGGCGCAAAAAAGAAAAGATGAGTATAAATAAAAATGAATAAACAAATAATAAGCGTAAGAAATAAAAATCTCCCACCCATGACGCACCACTTCTAGTACCATTTTTGGTTCTTCCGCAGTCGCCTCGAATTTTCCGTGCACAACGTGTAAAGCGGCGGCATTATTGGCAACGGCAATATTGGCTGTGATAATGAAAAAGAGATCGAGGATACCAACAGCTATTACAGAAAAAGTTAATCTTGATGGAAATAACGCCATTCAACCTTCTCTTTGTTCTTCCTTAACTTGCCCTGTGTATTGTACGTTTTTCCGTACATGGTGGATGCTTTTCGAAGCGTCTTATCGACAAGGGATGCGGCATTATGGCTACGTGTTCGCACTTTGGAAAGAAGGGCCTTACCCACACTGTCGTCCCGAATCTGATGTCCAACGTAAAGTTCCAACCATCGCAACGCATTCTCGACGGTCATGTTATTGGCAAGCCGTAGAACAGTTCTTCCTACCACTCTAAAAAAGACGTTAGGAAGCTCTGGCACATTTGATGCCGCCTCGAGAAAGCGCATCAACGTGTTCTCATCCGCAGTTTGCAACGTGGCGGCACCGGAGCGACACACCGCTGCGAGTGCCTCTTTGTCATCCGCAACGTTAACAAAGGCTCGCCATACATCTTCAACCTCCAGATCTCCCGCTGCAATCGGAGGACGAGACCTCAACGTTGCCGCCATCGCGGCCGTTTTCTCCCTGTCCTCATTTGAAATAGAAAGAAGTAGGAATAAATCGAGCGTCGACAATTCTTCTGGACGTGCCTGAGAAAGTACTTCTGCTCCTGGCAGGGCCAAAAAGGCTTTACGCTGCTTTTCGCTACACGTACATGCCACCAATACAATGTCTGACAAGCTCCAGCCTTCAATCGAAGTAACATGTTCTACCAGCACAGATTGCTCAAAATATGGAACGAATTTTAGCTTCCGCGCAGTTAATGCCGTCGAAGTAATACTCTCGTGGTCGGGCGAAATGTGAGACAAATGAGAAAGAAGTGCGCGAAACATAAGAACGTCACGAGATTTAAGCGCCACTAAAACTTCACAAAGAGTTCTCACATGGATGGGTGTCATGGAGCCAATGGCTTTTGAAAGCCGGGTCAGTAGAAGCGTTGTTAATCCTCTGTCATCTACCCCAAGATGCACAAGCAATTTCAAAATATACATGGCGTCTTCCATTTTTATCCCCTCCGGGGGCTGCTGCTGCTCTATTGCGTCACGCAACACTGCATACACCTTTGACTCCACTGAGAGTCGCCCCCCTTTCGCGACATTAAACGACTCTAATACCATCGTCACCGTAGGAATGGAAAGAAGTTTCCCATGATAAGCCTTATGTTTGCGGCGATCAAACTTACGCGTAGCGGCAAAACGATTCAGTAACTCATTGAAGAAAATGCCATCCACTGCTTCCCCTGCATGGGCAGCCGCATAGAGCAAATAGGCGATGTCTTCTTGAGTAAAATTAGAAGGAGTGTTCTGAAGAAAGGAATTTTTGCAGTGCGATACAAGTTCAGGAGGAAAGAGTTGCAAATCCCGCATACACCGAAGAAGAATTTGCGTCATGGATGGTGAAGAAATCTTTTCAGTGCCTTTTAGCTGGTCCACAAACCGCAAAAGCAACTTAGTAGCCTCTGACGGCGCAATCAGTGACATACCACGAAGCTGCAACAACAAGGCATTGTCGTATCTATCGGATGTTCCCTTGCCAAGCGAAGTTTTGGAACAAAGGAGCCTCTGAAGCTCTTTTCGCAGACAAGACGCCGCGTTTGGCATGGCGGTAAGGCTCCTACAACAGTCTAGCATGTCCTCCGGTGACATTTCGGGGAGAACACGCAGCAGTAAGTCCTCAAACATTTTGCTGAGATGTCCCGACCGCGCGCTTGTCACTGCGCGTAGCATAGCAATAACCTGTGATGCACTGACGCTGCCGGGCGGTTTCCCACAAATTGCCACCTGTAGAGCGTCTAGCCACTCTGCGTCAGTAGAGTGGTGTGCCAAGATGGCCTCTGCCACCGTTATCATTTGTTCAGGGCTAAGCTTGCCACCGCGTGTGAGGGAAAGGATGAGCTCTCGAAGCACTGCGAGACTTTCCCCTTGAAGAGGAACCCCTAACTGCGCGCACAGGCACACCGCCTGACAGTCATTGCTCCGTTCAATGCGCTGTGCCGTTAATAACGCGAGTTGCTGTGACACGGCTACAGCGGCCCCACGCGTCGCATGCTGAGATGAATGTGACTGAAGCATAGGGAGCAGAGAACGCCAGACGACAGCACAAAAAGTCACGTGCTCTTCTAGCGTAAGCCCCTCCAGGAGCTCCTCAACTCGACCAGAAAACCAAGGCTGCTCAAATAAAACACGTGACCAAAGCGGACCTGAGTTGGGCTGCTCATTCAGTCGCTTGACAATTTCCAGCAAATTTTCCCGTGTCAGCTGCTCCGATAACCTGGAAAGAAACTGGCCCACTTTTGTCTCCAGATGACTTCCTGCCGGATACGAGACACGATGCATAAAATACACGAGGTCTGTCGCATCTTCAACCTCCTCAATTGCGTCCTCCAGCTTCAAATCGTACAGGTAAGATCGTGCCTGCTGTAGCTTTCGCGGCTCACTCGACGCGGCGGCAATCCAGCCTTGAATGAGCTCCGAATGCACTCGCCACGCACGTGAAGCCCAATAAGAAAAAGTCCTTCGCATTCCTCCCGCTGGGGTGTATTTGACGTCGCTGATGTTGCTATTTCTTTTCCTTCCTTCTTTTCTTCTTCTTTCCTACTTCTCTTGCTGTTGCTTTTGGGGGAGGAGAGGGTTCCACCTGCCTAATGGGTAGTTAGCACAGCACCCCGACGCCCTTTCTCTCCGTCCACACGGTAGAGCGGCAGTCGCTACCGTTTCTCTTACAATTCCTTGTTTGGGAAAGGAATCAAAAAGAACCATAAGAAAATGTTGGGCCTCGCTAAGAGCAGAGACAAAATTAATAAAGGCGGCAAATAATAGGATGATCTCGCATGTCGCTTTATTTGCACCCACTCCACCACGCCCTTCAACGCCAAACCTCACTAGTCCTCCTTGTGCCGCTTCACTTTATCCCGCATAAAACTCGGTAGGCCATGTGGTTGCGGTGCAAACCTCTGGCGCGGGCTATGTTTCGCCCTTATTACGCCTTGCACAGCGTAGACCCCTGCCAATACCGCCAAGACGTTGAGACCAAGGAGTATAGCGGAGAAAGCCAAGTCGAGCATCATGACATACGTCTGTAACCACATGTAATAAATGGCCCCCACCGCAGCCACAAGTAAGAGGCCAATGGCCAGGCATGATGTGCCCACTTCCTCCGCAAGATTCCCACGTGTACCAAGAGACAGAGCGGCAAAATCTATGACGAGCAGCAAAAGTGCTGAAACAATTTCCATTGGTAGCGCTGCAGGAGGAAAATGCAGCATGCTCCCCTTGTAGATGAGGAGCCCCAGCGTCACGACGAACCAGATGCCGCTCCAACCAGCAGAACCGTACAGCAGAAGCTGAAAAGAGAGCGATGGGCCACCCGCCGTTGGGGTGCCCACGTTCATGGATCCCAAGCAATCCAGAAGGAAAAAAAAAAATTGAATGTCGCTTCCCTCCCCGCGTCTTTCGTGCAGAAATATATATATATATATATATATATATATATAATCAGAAAACACGCCAAGCAAAAAAAGTAAAAATAACCACCGCACACGTGAAGCATCGGCAAAACGAAAAAAAGCTGTAATGGAGGTACACACAGAGAAGGAGAAATACGTATAAATTGCACTCTCACTCTCAATCCCCCACGCATGCAACATAAAAAGAATTTTAATCGACCAGTTTATTTTAATGTTTGGAAGTATTTGCTCATTATTTCCCCTTCCTCGGCATTTGGGTTCTTGGCACGCTCATTCTCTCAGATTTCCTCGTCGCTGTCATCCGCTCCCTCCTCAGCCCCAGGGCCCCTTAAAGCTCCTCGCAGTACTGTTCGTCGCTCACGTTCACGCAAGCGACAAACACGATCCTTTTCTTGCAACCTTGCTAATTCCTTCTTCCGCTGCTTCAGCTGTCGGATGTCTAATCCTCGCAGTGGCCAGAACTCCTCATCCGAGTCCTCTTGGTCCACAAAGACGTATTTACCTGACAACTCGCCTTTTGGCATTCCTGCCGACATGGCTTCTGCAGCCTCATCCTCTTCTTCTTCTTCCTCCTCCCTGATATCTGCATTAGCGTTGCCTTCGGCGTTCGTGTCATCACCTCTATTTTCTGTGCCCGTCGTTGAATTCCCCAGTGTCGGGGGTTTCTGGCACTTTGCACAACGTGCCCTTTCCGTCGCGCACCGCTGGCAGATATGATGATAAGCGATGGTCACAGTCCTTTCTTGACAGCAGTTACACTTCCGCTGACGTTCCAGAGGAATGTACTTGCCATAATCCACTTTCCACTGCAAGATGTCGCAGCAGCGTCGACAGCATAAACTAGTCATGAACGCTAAAACAACCGGTGGGAGCCTCTGGTCATTTACCTTGAAGCGATAGGGATCAAACTTCACCTTGTTCATGTGCACCTGCTGCGAGCCCCGAGCACCATGCCGCACAAGACGCTTGCTGGGCATCCCCTCCAACCCTACCAGTTTTTGGCGCACTTGGAAAAATGGCGGTGAACAAAATTCACTCCCCCTCTCACGGTTAACAAAAGGAAAAAAAAAACACTGATAACCGGGTGAGGAATAACAATAAAAGCAATATTTGCGGGAGTGAGGAGAGCCATCCAATTATAGGGCAGACAATTTGCCATCTTCCCAAGGACAAAAAATGAATGAGATTAATGAGGGGTGATAAGCTAAGCAAAAGGCCTATTTCTACTTCACGCTCTTGAGTGGCAGTGAGTCCAAATAGAGCGAAAGCTGTGAGATGGTGGTGCAGTTGATCAGCTCCCCCCACTCCCATAAAAAACCATTCCCACAACTCTCCTGATCTAGGTTACAACCGCCAACACCATCAACATCATCTCCGTTGTGGACGTAGCGACAAACAAATCCCGCAATGACACCAAAGCTACACGGATCCCCCACGCACCGTTCTATTACGAACCACGGGCCAGAGGACGTAGAATAAAAAGGCAAAGAGGCCCCAGGTGCAGTAACTTCTGGAACTTCGCCACAGAGACCCCGCCCTCCACGCGCCCACTGTAAAACGGTATTCATAAGATCTCCCTCAGTAGCCACAGAAACAATTTCACCACCTCCACCAGCAAAACAGTTTACGACATCGTCCTTGAGGAAGAGTACGCAGCCATACAAAGTATTTGCTACAGCATCAGCCTCGTTGTCGTCATGCTTCTGTCGCAGCGCTAAATGACTAAGGCAACCAACAGTTTGCCCCTTATTATAAACCCAACGACCAACAAACATACCCAATAGCCTTAAGAAACAAGAAATACAAAGAAGGTTCAACAAAATTATTCGCTTAGCAAAACAAAACACCCCAGAAGAAGTAGGAACGTCAAAGCAGCATTCGTGGACAACTCCGCTAAAAACAAACTCCAATTTTATTTCAGGCTGTCCCCAACGTCGTATGAATCACACCGCGCCTTTCAGAACTCTCAGAAGAGAATAAAACTGAAACGAGCCGTAAAACAAGAAAACATCCACGGTGGGAGACTGGTAAAACATAATAATAAGAAAAAAAAACGGAACAAAAGTCTGTAAAAGTAAACTCTGCTATAAATACAACTATATACAGCAGCTGCTCACGAAAAAAAAGTCCAACTAATGGCGAACCAACACTCACACCCTCCCCAATACAAATTTTAAAAACCGATTACAAAATTCACAAGCAACTATTACAACACACCCATTGCTTCCCTTGTTTCCCCTCCATGACGCATTTGCCACACAGTGAGGACCAAAAAAACTACATTTTACATCTCACATCCCCTTCGGTTTGGTTACACTCATTGGCGTTCAGTAAAAAAAGAGACTGCAGAAACCTGATCCCCAGGCACATGACATGCATTACCGGCATCAATGACAAAGGCGGCCATGAGTGCCTCAGGTCTCTCACACAGTAATTTCCCCCATTCATCACCGTCGAAAACCTTTACGTGTCGCGTAACCACCTTCTCCTTTACCTCCGTTGGGTCCGTCCACAACTCACAGTGCGCCCTCAAAAACACCAACTCCTTCTCCTTATCCGACAAAAGACGCCTCAAAGCACCATTCACCCCCTCGACTACCTTTAGTTGTACCAAAATATCGGTTAATTCCTTCTCAATTGTTTCAACAGCATTATACTTTTCGGCAGATAAAGCTACAAGTGCCTCTTCCAACTCACGAGATTTAGACTCCAGCCCACCAACAACCAACTCCCTCGACCTACACTCCGATTCAATTCTTTCCCTTTCCAAAACATTCCGCTCCAACTCCTCCTCCAAACGTTTTTTATCATCTAACAGCCTCTCATTCTCCGCAGCCTTCTGCTCAAGCTCCTCCGCCAGCCTCTCATTCTCCGCGGCCTTCTGCTCAAGCTCCTCCGCCAGCCTCTCATTCTCCGCGGCCTTCTGCTCAAGCTCCTCCGCCAGCCTCTCATTCTCCGCGGCCTTCTGCTCAAGCTCCTCCGCCAGCCTCTCATTCTCCGCGGCCTTCTGCTCAAGCTCCTCCGCCAGCCTCTCATTCTCCGCGGCCTTCTGCTCAAGCTCCTCCGCCAGCCTCTCATTCTCCGCGGCCTTCTGCTCAAGCTCATCCGCCAGCTTCTCATTCTCCGCGGCCTTCTGCTCAAGCTCCTCCGCCAGCCTCTCATTCTCCGCGGCCTTCTGCTCAAGCTCATCCGCCAGCCTCTCATTCTCCGCGGCCTTCTGCTCAAGCTCATCCGCCAGCCTCTCGTTATCGGTTGCTAGCTTTTCGAGCTCATCGGCAAGCTTCTCGTTTTCGATGGTAAGCTTTTCAAGCTCCTCAGCTTGTTTTGCGTTTTCTATGTTTTTTTGTTGAAGCTCGTTTTCTTGTGTTTCGTTTTGCCGGTAGAGACTTTGGATTGTGTTGTTTGCTTTTACAAATTCTTCGTATTTGGCACGAAGTTGGTCACTGAGGTTTTGATTATCTGCTGCTGCTTCTCTTAGCTGGCTGTTAATTGTTTCCATATCGTCACTGAGTTGTTGTAGCTGCTGGCGAAGAGTATCGTTTTCTTGTTGGAGCTGGTTGCTCCGTTGTATCTGATTTGTATATTCGTCCATTGTGATAGAAAGTAGGGGTTCTCTCAAAAGTTCTTCTGGGTCCAGGGCATCCTCGAAACCCGCGTCTTTTACCGTATAAAGCTGAAGCGTGGGCTCCAGTGACCTTGCTTCATGAGCGGTGCGGCGTTTTTGTCGATGAGCGTTTAGTTCTTTTTGCTTTCTTTGATTTATTTCCATAAGTTCTTTGTTTTGTCGTTCTTTCAACTCAAGCGCACGCGCACCAACATTTTGATTATTCAATGCATCCTCAAGTTGCTTTTGAAGGTCATGGATCTCTTCATCACGCGCTTCGATGCCTTCTAACGCCTCCTTCTCAGAGGTTTTGAGAGCGTCTAATAGGTCACTTATCTGACGTAAATTTTTCGCTAACTCTTCGCATTCTGCCCTCTTTCGTGCTAACTCATGAAGGAGTTCCGAGCGTTCCTGTGCGGCGTCGCTCGCTGCTTTCTGTGCTATTTGTAGTTCATCTTTAAGCTGCTCATTCTCGGTCTCCATGCCCTTTTTCTCTTGTGTTACTGTATTCAAATGGACAAGGAGATTATCGTGAGTTTGATTAAGATCCTCCAGCTGTTTCTGCAGCTGTGCAGCCTCATTCTCGAGCAGCTCGCACTGCTTCATCTGTTCATGAAGCTCATCCAAAGTCACGCAGTAAAGCGGTTCCGCGGTGTTATCTCCCTTAAATGTCGACAAATTACGTTGGGTACGCATCTGAATTGCCTGGTTCTTTTGCAACTTGAACAATTCCAGTTCACTTGCCTGTTTGTCAGCAAGGTCTTTCAACTTCTCTACCAAATCGCGCATTCGACCAATTTCGGCATGAAGCTCATTGTTTCGCTGCCGTAACGCTTCCTGCTCCCGTAGCGTTGATGCCGTCTGCCGACGGAACTCCTCAGCTGATTTTTCCAGGGTGCACTGCAACGAGCGGTTCTCATTGTGAATCTTGTCCAGCAGCATAAGCAAATCGCCAATCTCGCTTTCATATGCATCCTTGTCAACAAGATGGCCCTTTCCTCCCAGCTCCTCGACGAACTCGTCAAAGTAAAGTCCTTGAAACTTCGTCTCAGGAATGTCAATTGCCCGGCAGACTTCCACAATTGCGCGGTCAAGAGACACCTTGGCGCCATTGGGATCATGATACAGGCGGTTCATCTCACGCGGTGGGAATTGTTCAAGACGCCTATCAATCTCCCCAGTGGTCAGCTCAGTAGAGTGCCGGACGTGAACGAGGTAACAAGAGCATCGGG